CTCTCTCCCAGACCACCGTCCCTCAGCCAAGAGTCTCTCACAGTCTCTTTCCCAGCAGTGCTGGTCCCTCGGTGTCTCACTCAGCAATGTGTGTCTCTTGCGTCTCTTTCCCAGCAATGCGTGTCTCAGGAGCCCGTGTCTCTTTTAGCAGCACGTCTTCCTCAACCAGCAGTCAGAGAGAGTTCTGCCTCCAGGAGGCCTCCTTTTTGAGCCTGGCAGGGTGGTCAAACTAGCCAATTATAGCATCAGAACTCTAAGCACCTGAGAGAGAGTGGGCACCTCCCAGAACATTGTTTTGTGCCACTCCCAACAGAAATACTCCAGGTGGACACCTTCAGCAATCAGGAGCTGCTCAGTTGCTCATAGCAAATCCCACCTTGGAGTTTACAAAGACTTATGGGTAGAAAAGCCACACAAAGTAATTTACTATACCACAGTCTGTCTCCTAAATCTCTTTTAATCTGAAAGTTTCTTTTCATATTTTTTCCCCCAAAATGAAAATGAAATTTTAATTAAAATATAAAATATTTCATATTATTTAAGTTTTAAGAATATACTTACCATCACTGTACGTATCTCCCATGTTTTCTCCACTTCATATTTTCTCATGCCATGTATGTGCTGAAGAAGCTGAACATTTGTCTGACAGCATTTTTCATCTTTTGTGTTCATGTGTCATTTACTGTCCCCTCCTCTTTTTCCTATCAATTGCTAGTTAGATTTAAAGTTTTTATTAGATTTTAGGTTTTTTTTTTTTTTTAAGTAATACTTCTTAGGTGATGATGTCAATATGCATGTAGTGTTTGATTTTCTCCACTTCTAGTGACAAGTTTAATCAGTGGGTTTAGGTATGATCCTGATCCATCTATTAGAATGTTTTTCATCAAGTTTTTACTTAATGATTTTAGCAGTCATTGGTGATCACAAAAGGTTGAAGGAGTGGTGATTTTTTAATTCTGTCATTCTTCCTGCATTTATTAGTGATGATTTTTTCCATTTACTATAACTTTTCCTCGTAGCCATTTGGGTTACCTGAAATATAGTTCAAACAGGAATGGCAGTGTAGATATTGGTTCTTTTATGTATCAATTTTCAGAACAAGGAGTTAGTGTCAAAGTAAGTTCC